TATTTTCTAAAAGCTTCCTATTTCTAGCTAGCTTTCTAGTAGTAAAAATAGCTTTCTATAGCTAAAATAAGGTTACTTTAATAATTAGAAACTTTAAAGGTTATTTTAAGATTATAATAAAAAGAGAAGATAGTTTTTATAAAAGAGAATCTAGAGAGATTAGAAAAATTATTTAATATTAGATTTCCTATTCTAATTCCTTTTTAAAGTTAATTTCCTTTTTTTTAGCTATTTTTTTTTTATTTTCTTAATCTTCTTTTTTAAATATTAAATTAAGCTTATATTTAAGCTTATATAATATATTAATATTAAAGATTTCTTTATTTTCTTTTTTTTTTAAGATCTAGTACTAGTTAAAAAGAATATTATAATTAAGTAGTAATATTAGTTTTTATTTTTTAATAGCTTTTTTTTCTAGATAAAGCTTATCTTTATTAAAAATAATATTTTTAATACTAATAACCTTATTAATAACTAGATTTTATATCTAGTAGATATTAGAAGAGCTATATTTTATAAGATAATTAATCTATACTTTTAAGTTTAGATATTTTAATCTATTCTATTTCTATATTACTTTTATAGTTAAAGTAAAAGCTTTATATTTATAAGCTCTTAAATATAACTAATTAAGTAATTTTAATAAAGTTAGAAAGCTTTTTTTCTTTATTATAATAGTTTAAAATACTTTAATTAAAAACTTTTATTTTTTAATTTATTTAAGGGTTCTATTAAGTAAATAAATATTAGCTTTTAAGATTTCTAGTTATAATATATTAAAAAGTTTAATATAAACTATATTACTTTTTTTATCTTTAATCTAAGCTATTTATATTATAGTTTTAATCTTCTTTTTTACTATACTTCCTAAATACTTTATTAAGCTATTCTATTTTTAAATATATAGGGTAGAAGATTTAATTATAATATAGTAAACTATTTTAAAGTAAAGCTTTATTTTTAATATTTTAATTTCTAGTTTTTTATTATATTTTATATAAATAATTTTTAGATTATATAATTTATTAATTATATCTAAAAAGTAATTAAAAATAGAAATAATAATAAAAATAATTTAGTTTAAAAGATAATAGTCCTATATTATTTTAAAATAGATATCTATTAATAATATAAAGCTTTTTATTTCTCTATAGCTCTTTTTAAAATTATAGAAATCTAAAGCTATCTTTTTATATAAGCTTAAATATTCTCTATTCTTTAAAATTCTTCTAATTTTATATTTTATCTTACTTAACCTATATTAATTATATTTAATAGTAGTTAAGCCTTTTATTATTACTTTTATAGAAATATTAATAAGATATTTAAAAGCTCTTAATCTTAGATAGCTAAGTTTAAGATATTATTTTATATTTTTAGCTTTTAATAATAATAGATAATTTTAAATAACTTTACTAAACTTATTTTAATAAATATAGAAAGCTACTTTATCTATTTTAATAAAAATATATTTTAATATATATTAGCTTTCTATATTTACTATAAAGTAGAAAATAGACCTATCTATTTACTAAATAATATTATAGATATCTAGTTTATAGTTTTAGATATATCTAATTTAATAAAGTTCTCTTAGTAAAATAAAATTAATAGTAATAGCTTCTATATAGGCTATATCTTTAAAGGTTAAAATAATAGATTATAATTAATATTAAAGCTTAATCTTAATTTTACTATAGCTAAAAATTAAAAGCTACTTATTTCCTATTAATATAAAGTTATTATAAGTAAGCTTAAAGTTATAAAATTAACTAAGTTAATTAAAGATATAGATACTAGATCTAAAATTAAATATAGTAAAGTTTTTTAAAAAGTAATTAAAGATTAAAAAAGAAGCTATTTCTACTATATAAAATATAGCTTTAATATATATAATTACTAATAATTAATTTTTATCTTATTTTTTTTAAAATTTAATTTTTTTATTATTATTTTATTTTTAGAATTCTTCTACTTCCTTAGCCTAATTAAGGTTATTAGCTAGTAGCTTTTTAATCTACTATTTTTTCTTCTTTATTATTATCTATTTCTTTAAAAGTTTTTTAATAATATAAAAATACTTTTATTAAAAATATCTAAAGAGTTAGTAAACTTAGTAAATATTAGAATATATTCTTTCTCTTTTTCTTACTTTTTTTAGTAAAATAACTTTATTTTTAAGCCTAGAGTTATTAGTAATATTATTAAAGTATTTATTTTCTTTTCTATAAAAGGTTAAGCTAAAGATTTCTTTAATAACCTTTCTTATTTAAGCTTTTACTATCTTTTTTTTTATATAGAAATTAAAAACTTTTATTATTTTTTAATAGATAAAAATATTATTTTTAATTTCCTTTTAATAGATTAACTTATAGCTTAAAACCTAGTCTCTAGTAAAGCTATTAATTACTAATATAAAATATAAAAACTAATAATAAGCCTTAGTAGTTTCTAATAGTTTAAATTATTTTCTTTTTATTATAATTTTTTACTATTAAATAAACTATATTTTCTAGTTTTTTAATATTTTAGTTAAGTAGCTAACTATTTTAAAGTAATTATTAGTAGTTATTATAATTTCTTTAAGTTTAATAGTACTAGTAGCCTCCTTTAAGTTTTTAAACTAGTCTTAAATTAAAGCTTAAGTATAGTAAATATTAAAAAGGGAAGTAGAAAATATTTTCTAGATTTCCTTTTTTACTTCTTTTAATTTCTTTTTTTATTCCTTAAACTTAATTAATTAAAATTTATAATCTAAATAGTAAAATTCTTACTATTTTAAGTTTTCTTTAAATAACTTAAGATTTTTTAATTATAATATTATTTTAATTATTATTATTTTAAAAATATAAAGATAATTATTTATAAAAATCTCCTTTTTAAAAGAAGTTAGCTTTTTAATTAGTTTTTCTCCCTTAAAAATAACTTTTCTAATATTATTATTAAAAAATAAGCTTTTAAATTAATTTTTCTAGTTTTCTTAATTATTTTAACTTTTAAAGATAATAATAATTATTTAATTTAATAAGTTTAATAAAGTATTATTAGCTATAATTAGTAGATTTAATATAATAAATATAATTATTAAAAATAAAGGTTCTCTTTTCTTAAAAGAAAAAGCTTTCTTTAGCTAAAGCTAGATATATATATAGATAAGTAGAATATCTTAAGCTAGATTATACTTAGTTTTAATTTAAAGTTTATTTTATAGTTTAATAGTTATTTTAGTTTTTTTTTAAGAAGTCTAATCTTTTTAGATATCTTTTTAGATATTTTAATATCTTTTTTCTATAGTATTTCTTATATAAAAGTAGTTAGTAGGTATCTAGGGTATAGGAAAGGAATGAGATTTTTAATTATTTAAATATTAACATTAAATTGGGGGTAAAATATAGTATATGTAAAAATAGTAATTATTGAAGAACTAAAATTTCCTCTATTTCTAGCCCCTAATTACCTTCCTTAAATAGCTACTGATTTCTACTTAGTTTCCGCCTGAAATATTAGGTTCCGTTTTTACATGTGGGCTAACATAATCTTGTTCGCAGCATAACTAATTGATATGTCCGTCAAGAGGTGGACGGCACTACGAAACAATGACCAGCCAGTTTTAGAGATTCTCAATGTCTTGTGCTATAGCCTTACCATCCTGGCTGGTATACTAATTCTTCACTCTAATATGCTTAAGGACCATCGCTCTTGACAGATCTTTCTTATTGCCTGGACCGTCTCGCAGCCTTCCGCTGATCGAGCAGGTAAAAGGTGACATTGAACTTGCCTATTATCGTGGTTCTACTTCGTAGTTCAGGTACCCAAGACCCGCTTCAATCAAAGTTCTCTGAGCCCATTGTACTGGGCGATAATAAGCCAAGTCCAGCCCATCAACTGGGTGCTGCTTCCCTTTTGCAAGGTAAATCCCTTCAAATTGATTGTACGAAGCAGTATGTACGAAGGTACCCTCATGGCAGTCCCTATTTCCCTCCAAGGACAAGTACCCTAATGTACCCTAATTGATCCTCGAAAACACGCCCCCCCGGTTCACTCTTTCGCTCAAGTCACGCCCCTCCCTTGGCGTCCCAATGTACAGTTGTAGTACATTTTACTGAGTCGGATACCTCTGCACTCAAACTCGCTGCCTCTTCCTCGTCTCCAAGTACCCACGTACCCCCCCGCGACGTTTCTTTCCCCCCAACCTTCCCCCAAGTTCCTTTTTCCTTTCTGTCCATCATTTTTCTATGTTCCCATGCTGCCCTCTTTTTCTGTCCTTCCCGCACCAACTGAACACGATCCCCATCTATTATTAGAATCACGACGCCAGATTCAGCCCCATCGACCTGCACAACGACACCAATCCACGTCGAACCTGTCGCATGCACCAAGCTTGTCTAGACGACCACGAGGAGCTCTTCTTGATAATCTCAACTTTCGCGATACAGAATCGCTCAATATCTGCGCCGCTATCCGCATCCGCATCGCCCTCCAATTCCCCTAGACTGCCCTCTGCCCCCCGAAAAGATCGCCCACGAGTCCAAACGGTCAGGATATCATCGTCTTCACCTGGCCAAGACAAACAAATACCGAATAGAGGTAGCTTGCTCCCATTTCCTTCGATGATTGTATTTTCTGTGTCGAATTTCATCAATGTTTTTTTCTTCCGCCGTAGTCCCACTCTCCTTTCCTTATCCATCGCCGATCGCATTTGACCGGCCCGACTTCACCATCATCACCAGTTTCGGTTGTCTTTGTCTGGAAGACAAGAGCCAAGTGGACTAACAACGTCAAAAGACTCTTTTTGGGCCATTCGTATTTTGAGACGTCTCCGGATCTCATCGCCCGCCAGAATTCCGAAAACGAATCCTCGCGCGATCGAACATTTGCTCGACCAGACGGGGTACAACTCGTCTCAGCAATCTGGTCGATAGTCGTCGACAACTGTCGACTGCTACTATCACCTCTATACCTCGCATTTCACACGGCTCCAGAAAACATAACTAGTCAGAATGGGTCGACGGAAGATTGAGATCAAGCCCATCAAGGACGATAGGAACCGCTCGGTGTAAGTTTGCCTATGGTGCCCAAGCTCGCACCCATCGGCGCAGCACCTAACCTTGGCCTCTTGTTTCTAGTACTTTCCTCAAGCGAAAAGGAGGTCTTTTCAAAAAGGCGCACGAGCTCTCGGTTCTCTGCTCGGTCGATGTTGCTGTTTTCATTTTCGGCACCAATAAGAAACTCTATGAATACTCTTCGAGCGACATGCGCGAGCTGATTACTCGTTATACCTATGTAAGTTTGCTATCTTCATCGACTATGTTTGGAAAAATCCCCTTGGCACGCCGCTGACGCTTGGCTTCTTTAGCACGGTGGCCCCAACGAACACAAGGGACCTAGCGATTTCAACGGAGGTGGCGATGATGATGACGATTCGGCTATGGAGGGCACTCCCCCTCAGAGGAATTCCATGGACCCTCAGATGATGCCACCACAATTCCAAGGACAGCCACCCTTCCCCCACATGCGGAACCATACCCCTTCAGCGTCGCCTCCCATCCCCAATGGAGTACCTTTCCAACAACACCCAGGACACCCCGTTCAAAGAGGCCACACACCCCAAGCCCAGCTTGGATCTCGCCCAGCATCGAGGAACGACTCCAGGCGGATGGGACCTGGTATGATGCCTCAACAGGGCCCTCCTCAAGCGCCTCCACCGCCACAAGTGAATGGCTACGCTTTTATGCCAAACCCTGCCATCTACAACCCCCAGAACCCTCCTCCTATGCAACACGGCATACCCGCACACAACCCTCAATATCCCTACCCACCTCCTCAACCTCACGGATCCCCGCCGCAAGCTCACCCCCAATTGCCGCCCCAATACATGGATGACCAGCGCCGATCCTCAATCCCGCCTAACTATCCGCCCCCAGTCCCACAACAAGGACCTATACCTCGCCCAGAACCGTCTCCTCAGCAGCATCCCCAACAGCTCCCACAACCGCCTCCTCACATCTCTCCGCCGCCTCCTCAACCCCAGCAACTGGAACCACACCCGCCACAGCAGCCGCAACCCCAGGAACCTCAACTCCCAGCCCCCATGCCGCCAAAATCTGAGCCTCCCGAGCGCCCACGAGTACCGCTGCTAAATACGGACACCGCGATCAAGAGGTTGCCCCAACGGAAGCAACACAGCATCTTTACGCCTATTGATGAGAATCGGTCAATTCTATCCCAACACTTGGCATCTTTTACAACGGAACCTGAGCGTATCAAGACTGAGAGCAACCGGTCTCAATCGGTTGATGGTGGTAGCGTATCTCGCAACGAGAATCTCACCAAATCGCCTCCTCGCCCTCAGAGGGCGAACACCCAGACCATGCCTAAACCCAGGCCTCCTGTTTCGATTCCCGAGACCACGTTCACTCCTCCATCTCGCTCCAATAGTCTAAAGGTTGGCGGGGGAGTCGGTCGAGGACCGCGTCTGAAGGTACAGATCCCCAACGGTGGTGGTCAGAATGGCGACAGTGCGACAGCAGAATCCACTTCGCCGCGCAACCCAGCTGATGCAACGCCTCAAACGACTCGCCCTCCTCATATGATCCAGGTACTCCCGCCACCGTCTCCGTCAGCTTCTGCTCGGCTCTCCGCGGGTGCAACCGGACCGCCTAACCCATTTGCGCGTCCGCCCCCGCCTTCCCAGAACAACGGTGGTGGTATGAACATAGATACTCCCGTATCTGCTCTGCCGTCCCGATTCCTTAATACCGAATTCCTGCCTAGTCCAAGCAGTTTCTATCCGAACTGGGATTTCCGGGGGAATGATAGCAACACGCTGGCCAGTCCATTAAACTTTGCTACTCCCGTGGTCGGGACCGGCCCTTCCTTTCTAAGAGACGATAACTCGACCTCGATTGGGAAGCGGAAGAGTCCAGAGGCGGCCTCAGCCAACGGCGCCACGGATACCCCAGACCATAGCCAAGAGCCAAAACGAGTTAAGGTTGACTAAACCTGATGCACGCAAATTTGCTATCCTTACTTCTCTCTTCTTCTCTTCTTCTTCTTCTTCTTCTTCTTCTTCTCTTCTTTTCTTCCTTACATCTTGCATCCAATACCCACTCCGCAATTGCTTTTAGTCCTTTTTGAAACAAAAAAAGAGCCATCTCTGTCTCTACATGTCAGATATCCGGATATCCTATCTACGTTCTCGGCTTCTCTGTTTCCCGCCCATTACCTTCTTGTGCATCTTCTCATATGCGGAGGGATTTATGCGTCATTTTTATTTCTGCTCTCTCTTCTCTTGTTCGGTTAAGCACTCTTAGACCTTAGCAGTTGATGCCTCATAGGCTGGCCATCGTGTTGGTTATTTTTGTCGAAAGCTGAGAATTGCCAGGCATGGGTTTCGTAGGGTTTTTATTTTATTTCTTCGCCTTTTTGTTTTTTTCCTTTCTAAGTCTTTATATTCATCCGCTTTTTCTCTGCTGGTTTTGAACCTTTTTTCTTGCTATCTTTTTCGACTCTTCTTTCCTTGATACTTTGGGACAGTGGTTTTGTCTTGCAAAAACAAAATTAACCGGGAGTTTTTTGTCAAAGTCCAAATCTCCAGATGAGATTGATGACGGAATGGGACCACGGCGTTTTGACTGGGAAATTTCAACACCACTGGGCATTTTTGTGATTCGAGGTTCGAGGCTTTTTGCTATTGTCTTTCTTGGGAGTTGGCCTGATGTAGGATGCCGGGCATCGTCAAGTTATGGTTTGCTTGAGACGAAAAGAAAGATTCGTGTTTAAAACCTGAAGGTGACTGACTAGTTGCTTTGTGAAGTGAATTGTCAGGTGCTCCCTTGGGATGTTCTATGTTTACTCGTTTGGACGACCTCCATCCAACAAAGAGGAATACCTCTGGGTTTTCTTAGACTTACTCCGAGTGTTCGTGGCCTTTTCTGGTGAGGCAAAGCTGTGCTTCCGAGAGGTTTGCAAGGTTCCTCGTTCGGTTGGCTCTTTCTCTTGTCTTTCTTAAAGGGGAAAGGGGATGAACCATTCAATTTACAGATACACGAGAATAAAAGAATAAAAGACTCTACAACTGTTGCAAATACCCAATCCGTCGGCTCAGGACCACGATATACCTCCTCTACGGTTCCCCCAGTCGCGACGATAAGGAATATCCTTTATTTTTTGTCCACATTATAAACTCCGTACGCCCCCCCCCCGTACCTTGCCCGTACGCTTTATTCTTAAGAAGGAGACGAGAGTCGATATCTCTCTTCATACTTCCATAAGGGAGATTTTTGGTCAACCAAGCTGCTTGCTATAACACCGGGTTCCATCCCGCTTTTCCTGGCCTCCTTATCTTCTTCTTCGCGCTCTTACATTTATGAAACTACCCTTGAGCAGATATAAAACGGGAGTCATCCCCCTCACTTGCACCGCTTCTCAACAACGTTCGGACCATTCTCCTCATACTCCTGCTTCGAGATCCACATCTGGTGGAACGTACCCAAACTCGCAAGGATGCTACCGCCAATCCAAGCGCCGAACCGGCGTTCGCTTGACAGACCAGCAGCGTGCAGCTTAATCTTTGTGCCGGGATACATGGTAGCCAGCTCATTATTAAGCCTATCGCCGAAACCGTTGATCAAGCTCGTGCTGCCCGTGACGACGACGTTCTGCAGGAGGTTAGGCCGCAGGTCGACGTCGACGGCATTGAGAGACGCGCGAATAAGCTCGGGGATGGTCTGGGCCTTGGAGAGCCGGAACTCGTCAGCGGTAGCGTAGGCAGCCGACTCGTCCCACATGCCCTCGGACACGCGGAACCGCTGCTCGCGCCACATCTGGTTTGAGCCGTCGGGCATCTCGAAGACGCGGCCGGGCTGGTTCCGGATGAACTCTTCGTTGCCAGGCGCCGTGTATTTCCCGGGGCCGCGCCACGTCTCGACGACGGACTCTTTGAACTCGGTGAGGAGCCGCTCTTCCTCCCAGGCGCGGAACGAAGGGTGCAGGTCGAATTTGAACTGGCGCTGCTTGAACTGAGGGGGCGCGCCGGCGTCGACGGGCGTCTTGTTCTCCACCATGAAGGTGGGGACGAGGTCGACCTTGGGTTCGTTCTTATCGAACATGCTGCGGACCTGCGCCGAGAGCCAGAGCCCGCCGACGGGGGATCTCTGGATAGATCGCTTGAGGACCATGCCATCGTGGATGCACGTCACCGAGGTGTTGGCGCCGCCTACGTCGACGACGAGCGCGCTCGCCTTGCCGGCGGCGAAGGCGGCTAGGACGGGGGTGCGGCTGAGCCAAAAGGCAGGACAACCCCAGTTTTCCATGATGATCTCGACGGCCTTTTCCCTCGCTTTGGGTGTGTTCCAGGGCGCCTCGGTCATGAGTAAGGGGTTTTCGGCGAGCGGCTTCTCCTGCTCCTCGGCCTTGATCTCCTCGTCTCCCTTACCACCCTCTTCCTTGCCATCCCCCATGGAGACGTCTCCCTCGCTGTCCTTCTTGACATCGGCTTGATCGCCCTTGTCGGCGGAATCGCCGTTTTTATAGTCGTTCAGGCCATTCTTAGAGGGTGGCGTGGGCTTCGGCGCGTGGAGGCGGTTGACGAGGATGTTTTCCCAGATCTGCGTCGCGGCGTCCCAGTCCTCGACGACGCTGTCCCTGTTCATGTAGTTCCGCACCTCGATCTTCTTGCGCGCGACGAAGTACTCGTCGCCGAAGTAGTTCGCGTCGCCTTCCGTGTCGTGGATGTAGAAGGATGGGAGGACGGATTTGGGGGAGTCTTCGCCTGCGAAGCCGGCGCGGGTGTGGCAGTATCCCGGGTCGAGCACAATCGCGGATACCTCATCTGGATATCAGGACCCTTGGTTAGATATTGACGGCGCGACCTTGATGGGGGACAATTGCGGATCTGGGGAAGGGGGGAAGAGCTCACCTCCTCCGTAAGTATCGGTCGGCGCCTGCGATGTGGGTAAAGGCTGTTGCGCCATTGTGAGAGGAAGAGACACTGGATGGAATTTTAGGAATTGGAGGGGATATGTGGTGGGAAAATCGAGGATCTAAGGATTCTTCGACTATTTTGGTCTCTCGGCGTGTGGGATCGTGCGGTGTGATGGGGTATAGAGAGATGCGACCCCGCGATCGTTGGATGGAGATGGTCGGAGTCGAGGTCGTGTGTAGTTTAAGGTGGATGCGGGCTGGAAAATTCCACAATATAGCGAGGCTGGAGCTTGAACCGTTTGACGGATTTGTAGCTGTTGGCTGGCAGGTGGCAGGGCCTCCAATCATCAATATCCCCATGTTCTTAGGTACTGATATGACTAAGCTGATACGATCCTTGATCCTCGGACTAAAATTTCTGAACGAAATTATTTCGCAAATGTTAACTCGAACATCGAACCAGAGATTGGAACTGCCACCATCGAGCTCAGTTCGAGCTCATTGAGCCCAATTATGAAGGTACATGATCAATCCCCCAGACAAGCCCTCCCTTTCCCATGTATATGATGATGTCGCTTCTATTAGAACCGCTGCGGCTGAGCACAGCTTTTGCTGTGGGTGCTTACACTGAGCCTTTTCATCTGATCACATTCTCTTTTACTCTATTCTATTCTTATGAATAAAAAAATGAATGTCCATACCTTTTGACATGTTGGCTAACCGGACTGTGGAGAAGGAGAAATGAAGTCGCTCCAATGCCTACGAGGCCAGCAAGCCCGATTCCTCACATGCATCCCTCACGGGTCATCCGTCCGCTCCCATCTCCACGCTTGTCGTCTTGACACTCGTCCGCGATGCACCTATATCGCCGGCTCACGGCCCCGTCGGGCTACCCTTTATAGGCCAATCTCGACGACAGCGGGAGTCTTAGGAGAGAAGAAACCGTATGAGCTTGAGACCGAGGCCGAGCTCTACGACTACACACAAGGCAGGCTGGCGCGCCTAGCAGCATTCCAGCAGGGCGAAGATGCTATCCTTGGAGATATGCATCCGCGGCTAGAGCACCGGTCAGAAACAATGTCCGTTGCAGACTTTTTAGCGGCGAATGAAGATGTGGAAGTTCACGATCCAAACTCGGACGCGGTAACTCTGTATGGTACGTTCGTGGTTGAGGGCTGGGTTATCAATCTTGCCTGCATAAAGGCTGACTATTGGCGGGTATCTAGGACGAATAAGATCTATACGCCGTCATGGATCTTTCTTGATCTTCATCGACATCGTCAATCAGTTCCAATCCATCCAGGCCATGATCAACTGGGGACAGGTTTCTCAGACGTCGAGTATAACGAAACAGCAGTTTAAGCTGTTTGCGAAGATGTTGGAGAAAGGCGACCATATATGTAGGTTTCTATTGAACCCACTTACTACTCGATGCGGCGGAACTATACTAATGTGGCGTAGCAATCACGGGCCGTCCAACACGGACAAGCACGGGGCAACTTAGCATTCAGGCGACGGTTTTGCCGGAGCTTCTCTCTCCAGCGCTAGAACCCGTCCCTGACGTGTTGACGGAGGCTGACAAGAAGATTCAACGACGTCACCTCGACATGCTGGTAAACCCCGAGGTCGCAGATACTCTCAGGCTTAGAGCCGGTATACTGGCGTACATACGACAGTTCCTCCAAGAGCGCAAGTTCCTGGAGTTTCAAACACCTATTCTTGCTGACAACGCTGGAGGTGCCATTGCGAAGCCATTCGTGACGACCTCCAGCGAGGTCCCAACTAAGGAGCTTGCGCTCAGGATCGCGCCCGAGTTGTGGCTGAAGAGACTTGTTGTTGGCGGTGTGCACAACGTCTTTGAGATTGGACCTGCGTTCCGCAACGAGGGTATCGATGGCACGCATAATCCTGAGTTCACCATGTGCGAGTTCTACAGCGCCTATACAAATCTTGCGGACCTCGTCCACAGGACCGAGGAGCTGGTGTCGGGTCTGGCCCAGCATTGCCATAAGCTGATTTCCACGGAGCTAAAATCACTTCCGGCGGTTGACGTCAACCTCTTCAAACCGCCGTTCCGGTACGTGGAATTTGTACCGGCGCTCGAGAAGGCGCTCGGCTTCCATCTTCCGAACCTCGCATCTGAAAATGCGCTTCCAGACATGATTACGGTGCTCAAGCTCGCCAATGTCCATATCCCCGGCGGTCCACCGACCACTTTACCTAAGCTGCTTGACAGGCTTGCCGCCGTATATCTAGAGCCTCTATCGTTCGAGGGGCCAATCTTTATCACTCACCATCCCACATGCATGTCGCCACTTTCCAAGAGCTTCATATGTCCCAAGACAAAGCAGGAAGTGTCGGCACGGGCAGAGCTGTTTGTGAACGGGCGTGAACTCGCAAACATGTACGAAGAGGAGAACAACCCCGAAGTTCAACTCCGCAAAATGCTGCAATACCGTAAGGGAGCGACAATAGCGGCGGGGGGCAGGCACGGTGACGTCCTCGACGACGGTACAGCGGTGTACGAACAAACCCAAGCCGAGGAGCAGGAGCAGGAGCCAGAGCAGGAGCAAAAGGAGTTTGAGGAAGAGGAGGAGATCGTGGATGAGGAGGCCCCTCCCGTGGATCTAAGTTATATCCAGGCCCTGAGAGCGGGGCTCCCTCCGACTGGGGGTTGGGGCTGCGGTATCGAGAGGTTAGTGATGCTCTTTTCGGGGGCCCCGAGAATCAGCGACTGCCTGAGCTTTGGCACTCTCAAGAACGTGACCAGCTTGAACGCGAACGCCAGCGAGGTACTGCGAGCCAAGACCCTGCCGAAGACTGGCGGGCGGGACAAGCTTGAGGCTCTGTCACGAAAAATAATGGAGAAGGAGTCCAATTCGGCGGGGGAGTCTATGTAAAGATAAGGAGTGGGTTTCTTGTACGATTACTCTTATAGAGAGGGAGCTCTACTACAGATGTATATATTTGGAGGATTTGATGTATCAATATGCGTATACGTTAGAAGCATTAGGGCGTCATGTTGGTAGACGGGATCATATGGACTATGTACAACAGTTGAATCGAATCATCTATCCTCACACCTTCCGAGACAAGAAAGTGACGTTGATGTTGACATCGAGTCTGGGAGCAGTGGTGGTTTGCTAGAGCCCACCCTAGATTGACTCACCTGTATCAGGAGCAGTAAGACACCGATCCAGGCTCATAAGGTTGGGGAAGGGTCCGATCTCATCAAGAGAACCCACGCCTCTATGTCTGGCTAAACAGCACCAAGACAGCAGTGTTCGGCAGCGCAGGGTGCGCGGGGATGCATCTAGTCTCCATCTACAACATGCCTACATTGCATTGCAGGTCCGCAGATGCAGATGACCACGTTTAGGCGGTGTCTCTATTTTTTTTTTTTTTTTCTTCCTTCTTCTTTGACACTCCCACAAGACACTCTCCTCTTCAAAACGATGGCGATGTCGGAAGTGAAAACTCCCTCTTCCCGTCTAAACTCTCTCGCCTGACTCGGAAGAATTTAGATCGAGATCGTGAGGCCCGAAAGCTGAAAAAAAGACACGAGTTCCTGAGACAGCGTCAACATCCGACACGACAAGAGCTAAGAATTGCGCCGCGGTAGTTTAGTTGGAGTCTCCACTTTGTCAAGTCTTCTGACCATTCTTAGCTCCTTGGGGTTTCAAAGCCATGAATAGTCGAATAGTCGAAGAGCAGACTAGTAGCTACTAGTAAGACAGGACTGGATCGTTCCGGACCTGGGCTGGATGTGTGGGGGCGAGAACTGCCAGACGGCGATGGCTTTATCCTCAAGGGCGGCCGTCCTCTTGACGGGTAATTGTGTACCACAGAACTACGCGGAGAAATCGGAGATGTTCGCCATCTTCACTCCGAGTCGAGAAGACGGGGAGCACTTTATGCGAAGCCGCTTTGAAATTGTTTTCCTTTTTTTTATGTTTGAATATTTTCTGGTCGTGGTAGGTTCAGCAGTGTCGATGCCGATTCTCGACATTGCCTCTGACTCCGCCCTGGAGAGGGCCGGGTATGAATTCTTCTCTTTTCCTTTGCGCGCTCTTGCATGTTTCCAAATAGCGCGGTATCCCAAGGGCCATTCATGTCGGAAGGGACGGGAAGTGAACGCGGGAAGAGGCAAGAGAAGAGATATGATTCCGCTCAGAAGACATAAATCTAAAGAGCCTTCACACACAGGCTCTCCCCCGGACTGCTTTCAAGGATATGTATCCATGTGCCTCCTCTCATCGCCTCGCTCTTGGAGCCAGTGGAGTTACTCAGCTTACCTCGGCCGATTTTTACCTCAGATGTAGATCTTAAGCCCCATTGCTAGGCCAATGCGTTCTCGACGCTCTTCTTTCCTACGCCCTTTCGCCTTTCCTTCCGGAGTTCTTCTAGATCCCGCCCGTAAGAGCCGTTCCTGTGTTTCAAGGCGAGAAAGGATGAAGAGACGGCCAGAAGCGAGGGTGCCTTGTGTCCCTAAATGTCTATTCTTTCGTTCACTTTGATATCTCCTCCCTTTGTCTTCCTATCATGCTTTTGGGGGGTTGGAGGAAGAAATTCTGTTAATGCTTGTCCGTGTCTAGGTACGGAGTATACGGCATATCGTAGTCTCGCTATAGACACGGATTTAATGATGAATACCTTTTCCCGGGGTCACGAAGCTGTTTTCTTGGGCACTGCCCATATTAATTGGAATCGAAAGAATAAGAAAAAAAAATTCGTACAAATACAATTCTACACCCCCTCATCTCAACGTGGGCCAAGGCTCTTCGACATAGCAAAGACCATAGGCGGGGAGGCAATGACGTATATCACGGACTGGATTGGAGATGCCATCTACTTTGCCGGTTGTTTCTGGGCGGTCTGCAAAATTCCAACTCTCCCAGGCACACGTTGTAAAAACTATGGCCAAATCTCACCCTCTCACTTTGCCGCTTCTATTGGTCATGAGTCTCACTTTTTTTTTCGCTCTTTGCCTCTTCCGGCCCGGGTTTTCTGGGCCATTCAGACGTCCTTGTCGTTCGATACTACCTCGCTGCTTTAAATAACCGATCTGATCTAGGGACGGCATGGAAACTAGGACTAGGCGACTGGTCCTTGCTCTGATGTGAATCGGTGGAACCGGATAGAATGCGATTTGATCTGTCGTTTGATAACGAGCTACGGCTGATCATTGATGGGTTGTGTGTACTTGTAGAGGTGGGGGAAATGCACTGGGATGATAAGCTGCGGGAGGCAGCATTCGGATGGGCGTAGGAAAGCGACAGGAATAAAAGAGGTACATACGCAAGGGAAATCTCCACCTCGCTTGGCATTGGATCTCAGGAAGACTGAAGCGGCTTGGGAAGTGACCGAGGTGAGAGATCAATGGGCTTGCAACTGCATAGGCTGATTTGCAGATCGTCAAGTTACTGACCTCAAAAAACGCTGGGCGACACGCATCTCCGTATAAACGCCGAACAAGATGGGCCTGGTCATTCATGCGAGTTTGTGAACACTCACATTGATCCATGTGTGCCATTTCTTCTACGACGGTAACTCTACCGAAGTGATCGATCCCCCAATCGAGGAAGAGAGCAGCAGAACGATGATGTGATAACAGATGACATTGGCACCAGTCATGGCGAATGCAGCACATGAAGGAAGCGCCACTCGTAGATTAAACCCTCATCAAGGAGGGTGGGAAATGGAAAAAATCAAAAGCAAAGGGAGAAGGCGGCGAGGGGGGGAATAGATGGACACCCACACACGGGCTTGATGATGAGGCACGAGGTCTGATATGCATCCTGCAAAATCCGGGTGGAGAGGGAGGGCTTGCTGTGGTTGGACTTGGTTCCTAACTGTTCGAGGCTTCTAAGTTCAGACCAGAAGCTTGCGAATGCCCTTGAGGGAAACGGATCAACTGTCAGGAAGATGGTAAACCCTCTCCGCCGCCTCCGAGATGTACTCTATCTCTTTTCCTTTCTACTAGGAGGAAAAAGGAATTCGATACACGTCATGTCTTCGGGGTAGTTGTAGAACAAGGGACTTGCTAACTGTTTTTCGGGAGGATGTGAGACGTGAGAGCTCACCAAGTCTTCTACTCTCGGGACCCGAAAACTATGCGAGCAAGCAATCGCCAAGAATAGTTAGCTCTGTTAGAAAAAAAGCACCCCATACACACACGTGGTTCTGCGTTGGCGTAAGAACGTCATGCTTCGTCCAACCAGGTATCAAAGCTTCTGGTTTCGGCTTCAAGTTGGAGACTAGACCCTTTTTATTTATCTCCTTGCTGCTGCGGTAGCCGGCGGCCGAGACATGAATGGAGGGGAACAATTTGGAGCTCAGGGAGGGAGGGGCACAGGCGGGGAAAGGTAAAAAAGGTCTTGAACGGTGCCGTGAACCTATGGAGAGGCAATCTCACCCTCCCATTCCAACTTCGCAAGTCAGTGGCGTCTGCCATGTGCGATGGGATACAGTTTACCGTGCAGTTCAGCCCACGGCTCCGCTTGCCGTTCCAGCTAGACATGGTGAGACCGTGGATCGTAGGACTCTCACGGGCTGGCGGCAGCCGGTTACTCTTGAGGAGGGCAGGGCGTCTCCGTGGAGGGAAGACGGAAAGAGTCTAAGTGTACGAAGCGGACGGGAAAGAGAATGAGAATGATAGGGACTATCGTCGGAGATGTAAGAAGTACAAGTGGGAACATTGAAGATGCTTATAGTGAGTGAGGTACTACCGAGTTTGTGCTGCAGGTGTACGCATCTGGTATGTATCAGACCTGCCCTGCGCGAACAAGGAAGAAGCACATCGAGATGAACCACTCACCTCGTGCGGCGGAGGCGATTATTGGGCAGTGGAAATGGAAATGGAAACGGAGGGGTGTATGAAGTGTACGAAGTACAGATTAAGACGGATTTCGGTCGTGGAGGGTACAAATTGTCGCTGGTTTTTGAATGGCGCCATGTAACTTGGAGGTTTGTTGCTGGTCTCGTGAGCAGCCCACTTTTCGTGCAGATTGGATTGAGCCATTGACGGCTTTTATCGACCTTTGCTGAGATTGATGGAAGTGGATGGAAATATCGTGACCAGGCACGAAGGTATCCGTGTCGGTCAGACACAGTGACGTCAACGGGACTGGACATACGAAGTACTGAATTCTCGACGTCAACGATGAGGTCTGAGAATGAGGAAATGTGGATGACGTCCGTCAACAACTGCGAGTCCAGCATCAATGCTCACCAGATGATGGAAGGAGGCGATTCAACGGACTTGCTTCATCCTTCTCTCCTTGGATGTACGGAGTACGAAGAAGTACCATCGTCTTCTAAGCTGAGAATACTTATAGTATGCGTACGCATAGAATACGAAGTAGTCAAATACTTCAAATATAGCTCCTTCTTTGGGTTGACGCCTCCGTTCGGAAGAACGCCGCTGAGGGATGAAGTGAGACTCGAACTTAGCTTTTACACTCACACACTAAGAAGATCTAACGGCGCATCAATACTGTGGATTTCATGGTCCCGCATTGATGACAGATTTTGCTAGACTCCACAGAGAACCTCTGTTGTCTCTTCAAGGTCCACAAAAAGTCAGGCGACAACTACCGAGAGCTGGCGCTTGCCGATCTACTCATACACTACCAAGCTTTTAACGATTTTTCTCTCCTTTTTTGCTTCTTTGGAAAGCGATGGGGGTCAAACAATTTGGCGGCGCAGTGGGGATTAGGAACAGGACCAGCTAAACTAAACTAGCCAAAAAAAGAGCGGTATAACAGTTTGCGGTTTTTCTTCTACTTCAGAAATCTCATGATGGGCGATCGGCTGAGGTTCATACCTGGATGGACACACCTCCCGCTTCCGTCTCGTAATTGGCGCGACTGGGAATCGCTGGCTCGCTGGCTCGCAGCTG